ATAAAATAAATTTTAATATGTCTTCAAACCCTGAAGACCCGCATCATAAAAACACATCACACTGTTCTTTAACGTTATCAATTTCTTAATAAGCACTCTATGCAACTGTATTATTGAGCCTACTGTTTTTTTGGAACTGATTGTCATCCCCTTAAACCATGCTCATGCACAGAGTAAAATAGTCAAGCCTCGGTTTGAAATCAAGTTGCCATGGTGCTATGACTTGGGTACCAATGTGACAGCACATCCCCATAGCAACTATAACTAGCAGAGGAACATATGCCGAAGTGAAAACCAATTTCCAAATATACCCCAGTGACATCGCTAGTCACATGGGCTTTAAGGAACTTGGGACAGACTCTGGAGATGAGCTCCTGTGCTAAAGAGTGATATGAACTTTGGCATATTAATGCACTCTTGCAGATCATGGCATGGACAAGTGTGCTTTGTGTGATAATTTGTGCATACTTGAGTGGAATAAGCAGGGAAAATAAACGGCAATATCTCATAAGCAACAAGGCTTTGGAGGATTTGGAAGGTAGATACAGGCTTTATATTGTATGTTTGTAGATGCAGGAAAGGTGCTGTGTTGAGCTTAATTCCACTTTACCCTCACTCTGGCACACACAGTGATTTTTATAACATGTAGGGCAATCAATGTTTTTGTATGTAGACATCCCTGAGGTTTACATATTTATGAGCAGGGGGGACCAGTAGCCCCCATGTGATAGCATATTTATAGTGACAGGTTCTCTTTAATCAGACATCAGGGGTCTGTTTGAGCTACGTTGTCTCCCCTACAGGTTCTTACAACCTAGGGGAGAGCCGAAAACAAATGTTTGTTGGTCTCCCTCCGCTCTACCTGGCAGTACCTTGTATGCGGGTTCGGGCTCACAGGTGGGATGGCGAACACAATGAAGATAGAGGGGCACACATTTCAGTGGTCTGTGAAAGCAATACAGCCACCAGATCACTTCCTTCTCAAAGTTCACTTGTGAAATTTACATATATTTCCAGTTGCTTTCTCAGCAGGGAGTGTATGAAAAACCTCCCTACTGCTGCCGACAAATTTTATACTTTGGTGGAAGTAAAAAGGGTTAATAATCTGGGGTTTATTTTTACTATATAAAGGGAATAAAGGCTGAACAAATATAGCAAATAAATATACCAGGGCAGTACACCCATGAATTTGAAAAATAGAGACCCCAAAGTGATCTAATTTTTTGCTGCAATTTTTTGAAATAAAGAAGCATGAGGTGGCTAAAACATGGAGGTTGATAATAGTACACTGGATGCAGCAGCATCGTAGGTCATATACAGAGGGCGTTGCAGACGTTATTGTACAAGTCAGAGCAGAAGGATGCAGATGAAGGGGTAATTGTTCAGATGTACAGGATAAGGGTGAGGAGGTGTTAATATACACTGTCACATTGACACAAGATAGAACTGAGGTGTAAGGATTAAAAGCTGATGCCACAGTCAAACACCCTCCTACAATTGTACTTTTGCTGCAGATTTGGAACTAATGAATGAATAATTTATTAATTTATTAAACAGTTCTCCCTTCCTCTGTTGTACAGTACAGTGTTTATATTTGTGATAGCTCTGTTTGGTCATCACAGTTATCACATGGTACAGCGTCACTTGGATCCGCTCTGTACACTGTGTTTGTGAACCAAGGACCCAATGACTGGTTCACAGACATTAACAGGCCCAAACAGGAACTATAATTGAAGTGCCATTTATGGGGGTCGCTCACTTGGTGCAGCCACCATTTAAAGATCCTTACATTTTTCTTAGTAAATGCAAACTGTTCTGTGATTGGACGAGGTGGAGATTGTGATATCCCCACCTATCCTCTCCACCTTGTCCAGTTAGAGAGTGCTTTGCATTTTTTGAGAAAAATGCAAAGCTTTCTTTGAAACTAAATCATAGTCATGCTGAACGAGTGACCTCCTGTAGTTACTATGCAGAAGGACATCCATGCAGCATGGCACCCAGAGGATAACAGTCATCACTGTAGTAACTTGGACTACTACAGTGGTTTACTCCACAGAGGCAGATCAGGTATCATATATGCATACCCAATGTAAGTATGCAAAGTATATTGTCCCTGGAGTTCAGATTTAATCTTTTTCAGTTACATATTAACAAAACATGTAATTTGGCCAGGAAACATGTAATTTGGCCAGGGATGCCCAAACTGTAGCATGCAACTCTTCCAGCAAGCAATTTGTTGAGCAGTGGAACTATAGAATGGGAGAAATATTTATTTATTTACTTTTTAATGCAAACATGGACTAATTTGTTGGTACTCTTCCATGCAGAAATTACCCATGAATTTTTATGAAATAACTTGCAAATGAACAAGTAAATTGTCCTTCATTATTTATTCCATATTTAATAAAGATCATACTTTGCTGTTGATTTTGTAACTCAAAAGAATAGTTAAAATAATGGAACAAATGAAAATGGCATGAACAAAAATGATGGACCCTTTAACATAATTTGCTGCAAAACCTTTAGAGGCAGTCACTGCAGACAAGTAACAATTGTAACTCTCAATGAGAGCTCTGCACCTGCAAATTTATATTTAATCCCTCTTCTCTTAAGCAAACTTCTTCAGCTGTCTCTGGTTTAAAGGGTTCCTTCTCTAATTTGCATGTTTCAGCTCTTTCAATAGATGTTTGCTACGATTTAGATCATGGCTCAAAGAAGGTAATTTTAGAATTAGGTACAATTTATTTTCTTCGCTATTTTTGGGTGCTTTTTGTTGTGTGTTTTGGGTCATTATACTGTTGGAGGACCAACAGGAGACCTAGATTTCTGACACACGGCAGTATGTTTTGCTCCAGAATTCCTTGATAGTCCGCAAAACAAATGTAAATACTCATCAGACTGTACAGGCACTAAGACGAACACCATGGATAAAAAAAATATTAACAAATTTATTTATTATACAAAACGTAGATAAAAACACACAAAGGACCTACAACAGGTCATAAAAACAAGTGTTAACAGCTATTAGTAAGTACATAGACCACTGAAACTCATTTACCACAGTTCCATAGTACATTTGTTGTATAGTGGAAGGACATGCTAACCAATCATTATACAGGTATGCTGTGGAAATGAGTCTCAATAGGTAAACGCGTTTCTCATTATTGCTTCTTTAGAACTTAGAGGATAGCAGTGGTGCCTTGGGTATATGCATACAACTGGCATGCAGAGGACTCCCTGGGCTGACATCGAGGGAACAGGAGGTACAAGCTGAGGAACGGTCAAACCCAGATAGCAAAAAAAAATGTGGACAGAAGTTGACCACAATTAAACGACAAACTTTTTATCCGGTAGATCAAAAACAAAGAGCTGTTGTAGGTCTTTTGAGTGTTTTTATCACCATTTTGTATAATAAATACATTTGTTAATATATTTTTATTCATGGTGTTCATCTCAGTGCCTGTAATGTCCGATGAGTATTTACATTTGTTTTGTGGACTATCAAGGAATTCTGGAGCAAAGCATACTGTCCTGCTAATAAGCATTGGCTTTTGAAAGTTTGTCAATGCTAAAACATGATGTGCCCAAGAGGCAGCTGTACTAAAGATTACTAGATATGTGGTGGCCCTGCTTTGTTCCCTCCTTTCCTTCCTCTTGGGTGAAGGCTTCCCAAAAGTGCTGGTAACCTCTTGCAGTAACTCTTGATCTACTATATATATATATATATATATATATATATATATATATATATATATATATATATATATATATATATATACATACATACATACATACATACATACATACCTTTATTCCTACACTTTTATCCAGCATCCTTTTTTCCCACTCATTCATCAGATACTAGTCTACGAAGGATCTTCAAAACAGCCTCAGCTTGTACCTCCTTGTTATCCCAGTGCCCGCCCAGGGAGACCTCTGATCCCTCCTTTGCCTTCAAAAGCAGACAGTCAAACTTAGATCTATTTGAATGGCTGCTTTCCATGGCTATGCCGACCAGGAAAACACAAAACTGAGATCTCGCTTACAGATTCATTTATCACAGGGGAGATCAGGAAACTGTTGTTCCTCTATATTCTCTATGGACAGCTAGCCCAACCGTTTACAGTGGCAGCAGAATGGGGGTCTTTCTGAGCCTTGTAAAGGTGATTGGGTGTTTTTACTCCAAAAGGAATTCTTGTCACTGTCCCAAGAAATCATAAGCAGTATTGGTTCATCCTTTGTGATATCAGTAGCTGAATGGAAAGAAAAATGTAAAGTGTGGGGAAAATAATTAAGTAAAATGAAAAAAAAAAAAAAAAAAAAAACAATTTTGAAGCACCCCCCCCTGCTCATGCACAAATGCAAACATGCTTTTAGGTCCGGTCTCGCATTCATATGTAAACAGTTATTGCACCACATATGTGAGGTATCGCCGTCAATATCCGAGTGAGAGCAATAATTCTAATGCCAGACCTCATGTTTGACTTTAACCACTTCAAGTCCGGACACTTTCACCCCCCTTCTTGTCCAGGCCAATTTTCAGCTGTCAGCACTATCAACTTTGAATGACAATTGCGCGGTCATGCAACACTGTACCCATATGAATTTTTTATCATTTTTTTGAGACAAGTAAAACTTTATTTTGGTGGTATTTATTCACCACTGGGATTTTTATTTTTTTGCAATATAAATGAAAAATTCCAAACATTTTGGAAAAAAAAGTGTTTTCTTATAAAATTTTGCAAATAATTTTTCCTCATACCACATTTTGGCCAAAATGTATTCATCTATCTTTTTTAGTAAAAAAAAAAATAACGCAAATTAGTTTAGAACCAAAAATTATAATTTTGCAAAAAAATTTTTTGACTTTTTTATTTTATTTTTTTATATTATTATTTTTATTTTTGTTTATTTTTCTATTTTTTTTTACATACAAACACCCTAGCAGTACAGTGTCACCATAGTGACACTGTACTACTTGTGGAGGGTGATGAAGGTTTTTTGTTTACACTGATTGCTTTTACACCCATAAAGGCTTTAAAAGCAATGATTTCTCCTCTCTGGCTGCATTCTTGCAGCCATTGAGAAATACTGTGTGAGCTGTGATTGGTCACAGCTTGTCACATAATACAAGGCTGTTGTGAATAGCCTTGTACCATGTGACCTCTGTAGTCATTCACAGATTACACATGTAGTAATCAATGATGTCAGAAGTGACATCTTGCTTACTACTATTCATGTGATCACTGAGCGCACAGTCCAAAATGTGGCAGGCGCCGTTTATGAATGGCAACCCGCTCCTGCACTGCTCCCTTCCGGCCATTTATATACATGGGCCGCACGGGAAGTGGTTAAACTGGTAACCTGTAAGGCCTTTTAAAGCCTTGCCTCAGGATAATTTTAGGTACCGTAGTTTGTTGCCTTTTTACAAGCGTGTGCAATATTTAATTTACTCACTGCAACGTGTCATCTTTTATACATTACCAAAAAAGTGGGTATTATATTGTGTTTGAGTGCAGTAAAATTAATTAAAGTGTATTCTTTAATGAAAATTTTAGTATTCTAGACAGCTATGCAAATAATATGCGAAAAAAAAAATTGCAACAGCCACAGTTTTTTAGTCTACGGGGCTTTTGCCTTCTTAAAATATATAATGTTTGGGGGTTTTAAGTAATTTTGTAGCAAAAAAAAAATGCTCATTTTAATTTGAATTTGAGAAATGTCAAAATTGCCTGGATGGCAACTGGTTAAAAGGCTTCATTTCTTCTAGGTACACTTGTGCACAGTATTTTAAGGAACTCGGCAGGTAGGTTGTTCCAAACATCTAGGAGAGCTAACCATAGTTTTTCTGTGGATTTAGGATGAGTTGCTTCCATCCATTCGTGTAATTCAGGACAGACTTGATGATTTTGAGATCAGGGCACTGTGGGGGCCATACCATCCTTTTAAGGCCCCATTGTTCTATGGGGGTAGGGGGGGCGTTCAGTACACCGTTTTCTGCTGAACGCCTCCAGGTTGCCACATTGCTTTAAACTTTACAGTGCTGCAGATTCAATTACAGAAATACAATTTTAAGAACAATAAATTACATTATGGTTTGTGTTACAATTGTATATGCTATATATATTTTTTTTGTGATTGCTTTTTTTTTCTCACAAAAGTGGAGTTGGCCTCTTAATTTGTTACTAGAGCATGGCCTAATTTAATTCCTCCTACATGGCTGATTCTGTTTGTATTTTAACATACTTGTTATTTTGTTGATTATTACCAACTATTTAATATAATGATTTAATCAAGCGCTGGGCAATATGTTTGAAATATCCTTGACTGTGTACCTTGGAGAATTGGTGTTTTCAGGGGTGTTGACATTTTTGAAAAAACTAAAAAAAAAACAGGGACTAAATTGGGGTCCCAGTCTACTTGTCGCTCATGACCATCTACTTGTCCAGATAAAAAAAAGAAAAAAAATGTTTAACCAAAATCGTATTGAAATTTGAGGAGCTTTCAGGAATGTCTGAGGCTTTTAAAAACAAAAGGGGCTTTATGGCGACTTAAATGTGTAATAATTTTAACATTGCGCTGTTTATCTCCTCCTCCCCTCCCTGCCTGTCTTCAGCACTGCACCCGGGGGACTAGCAGGGAGGGTAGAGACCTTGCAGTGTAATGAGCCCCGATTGGCTGCTGCTCAGGAAAGGGAGTGTTTGGGCTTATCCTTTCGCTGCCAGAGCCTTAATGCGTAAAATATCATTTGAAGATTACACCCCAAACATTATATATTTTCTGAAAGCAGACACCCTAGGGAATTAAATTAGGGGGAGGTCCAATTTTTTATGTCGCACGATATTACCACAAACTCTCAGTAAATAATACACTTAAGTTAATTTTAGGGCACAAAAAAGCGAAAGGAAGTTACACTGAGTAAATAGATATTCAACATGTCAAATCTTAAATATGTGCACGCTCGTGAAATGGCGACGAACTTCAGTACCCTATATTTTCTATAGGTGACCCTTTTAAAGCCCCCTATAGGTCATCCGTTTAGTGTTATGGAGGATGTCTGGTGCTAGAATTATTGCTCTCATTCTGGTGTGCACGGCGATATGTAACGTGTATCGCAATCAACGCTTTCATGCGTAGGCGCCCCAGTGTGTGCTTTTATGTTTATACGTGCGTATACGTGGGGGTGGGCGACTTAATATTTTTTTGGGGTATGATGGTATGTGCTATTACGTTTTTATGTGCAAAAAGTCCCCTATGTGATGATTATTGATGACAGGTTCTCTTTATTGAGACATCCAAGGTCTAAAGGACCCTGCATATCTCCCCTTGTACTCCACTGAAATTAATGCACCATATTACATTCTTTCCCAGCCCCCATGGCTGGGAAATATCCAATGGGGACCCGGAAGTGACATCATAACGTAATTTCCAGGTCAGGACAACAAGTGGGGGGCAGGGTTGTCTAATCTTCTCCCTCCCCTCTAGATGATGGCGGTGAACCAGTCACTGGCCCACAGATGGGCAAGCTGGGCTTGAGAGACGCGTGGGGGGAGGTTCACGCGTAGGCTGGAACTATAGGCTGTGTGAAAGCAGTTGGGCGAATGCTTTCACCTGACAGGTGAGCCCTGCTGCTTGCCCGCAGCAGGGTTAAAGGTTGAAAAAAAAATTACCTGCCCGGCGCCTGGAACTACATGTCCCGGGCGATATAAATTTAACATACCTGAGTTTTTCAAGGCAAATGATACACACCAAATATTGATTTAATTTACAATTTTTCCAGTTTAAGGACTAGTCCTTGTATTATTTTTGAAACTGCCTAAAACTTTCGGAAAGTACTCTGTGTGTATGTATGTATGTATGTATGTGTGTACACACACACACGAACACACACGAACACACACATACACACACACACACACACACACACACACACACACGATATAAAAAGTCTACACACCCCTGTTAAAATGTTAGGTTTCTGTGATGTACAAAAATTAGACAAAGATAAATAATTTCAGAACTTTTTCCACCTTTAGTGTAACCTATAAACTGTACAACGCATTGGCACAACAAACTGAAATCTTTTAGGGGGGGGGGGGGGGGAGAAGTAAACCTAAAAAACTAAAATAATGTGGTTGCATAAGTGTGCACATCCTCTTATAACTGGGGATGTAGCTGTGTTCAGTATTAAGCAATCTCATTCAAAAATCATGTTAAATAGGAGTCAGTACATACCTGCCATCATTTAAAGTGCCTCTGATTAACCCCTAAATAAACTTCAGCTGTTCTAGTAGGTCTTTCCTGACATTTTCTTAGTCGCATCCTACAGCAAAAGCCATGGCCCACAGAGAGCTTCCAAAGCATCAGAGAGATCTCATTGTTAAAAGGTATCAGTCAGGAGAAGGGTACAAAAGAATTTCCAAGGCATTAGATATACCATGAAACATAATGAAGACAGTCATTAAGTGGAGAAAATATGGCGCAACAGTGACATTACAAAGAACTGGACGTCCCTCCAAAATTGATGAAAAAACAAGAGGAAAACTGGTTTGGGAGGCTGCCAAGAGGCCTACAGCAATATTAAAGGAGCTGCAGGAATATCTGTCAAGTACTGGCTGTGTGGTACATGTGACAACAATCTCCCATATTCTTCATATGTTTGGCCTATGGGGTAGAATGGAAAGACGGAAGCCTTTTCTTACGAAGAAGAACATCCCAAACCCGGCTAAATTTTGCAAACACACATCTGAAGTCTCCCAAAAGCATATGGGAAAATGTGTTTTGGTCTGATGAAACCAAGGTTGAACTTTTAGGCCATAATCCCAAAAGATATGTTTGGCACAAAAACAATACCACACTGCATATCACCAAAATAATACCATACCCACAGTGAAGCATGGTGGTGCAGCATCATGATTTAGGGCTGTTTTTCTTGAGCTGGAAATCTGATTGAAAAATCTGGGGCCTTAGTCAAGGTAGAGGGAGATTATGAACAGTTCCAAATAACAGTCAATACTGGCACAAAACCTTCAGGCTTCTGCTAGAAATCTGAACATGAAGAGGAACTTTATCTTTCAGCATGACAACAACCCAAAGCATACATCCAAATCAACAAAGGAATGGCTTCCCTCCTCTCGAAGAAGATTAAAGGCCCGCGGAGCGTGGAATGGCCCAGCCAGAGCCCAGACCTGAATCTGATCGAAAATCTGTTGGGTGATCTGAAGAGAAACTGTGCACACAGGAGATGCTCTCGCAATCTGACAGATTTGGATGTTTATTTGCAAAGAAGAGTATGGGGGCTAATATTGCCAAGCCAAGATGTGCCATGCTGATAGAATCCTACCCAAAAAGACTGAGTGATGTAATAAAATTAAAAGGTGCTTAAACAGAGTATTAGTTTAAGGTGTGCACACTTTGCAACCATATTATTTTTTTTTTATTTTTACTTCCTTCCCCCTGACCTAAAAGATTTCAGTTTGTTCAACTGAGTTGTACAATTTATAGGTCATATTAAAGGTGGAAAAAGTTCTGAAATGATATATCTTTGTCACAGTTTGTAACATCACAGCAGCCTGACATTTTAACCACTTGCCGTCCGCCTGCTGTTTATAAACGGCAGGATGGTGGCACTCCAGGGGTGGGTTGCTGTTCATAAACGGCACCCGCCATTTCTAGCTGTGCGCGCTCCCTGGGAGTGTCCCTCCGGACACAGTGAAACACCGATAGTCGGATGGGACCTCTGTACGAGGTCCCGATCATGTGATCACTGATTGGCCAATCAGTAATCACATGCAAAGTAGTAAGCAAGATGTCACTTGTGACATCATTGCTTACTACGTGTGAAATTTGTGAATGATCACAGAGGTCACATGGTACAAGGCTACAAGGCTATTCACAACATCCTTGTACCATGACAAGCCGTGACCTATCACAGCTCACTCAGTAGTTCTCAATGGCTGCAAGAATGCAGACAGAGAGGAAGAGAAATGATTGTTTTTACATCCTATATGGGTGTAAAAGCAATCACTGTAAAAAGAAAAAAAAAAAAAAATCTTCATTACCCCCCACAAATAGTACAGTGTCCCCATGGTAACACTGTACTGCTAGGGTGACAGTATGTTAAAAAAAAACTAATTTGGCTTATTTTTTTTTTTTTTTTACTAAAAAGATAACAGAATACATTTCAGCCAAGATTTATGATGAAAGATTATTTATTTGCAAAATTCTATAAGAAAAACACTTTTTTTCAAAATTTTTGGACCTTCATTTACATAGCAAAAAAAAAAAACAAAAATCCCAGTGGTGAATAAATACCACCAAAATAAAGCTTTATCTGTCTCAAAAAAATGGTAAAAAATTCATATGGGTACAGTGTTGCATGACCGCGCAATTGTCATTCAAAGTGTGATAGCGCTGAAAGCTGAAAATTGCCCTGGACAGGAAGGGGGTAAAAGTGTCCGGACAGGAAGTGGTTAACAGAGGTGTGTAGACTTTTTATATCCACTGTATATGTAGTTTTATGTATGTGTATGTGTGTGTGTGTGTGTATGTATGTGTACACACACACACACCTCAATAAATTAAAATATCATCAAAAAGTTCCTTTTTTTCAGTAAGTCAATTCAAGAAGTGAAAATCATATATTCTATAAGTTCCTTACACCAGCCTTTCTCAACCAGGGTGCCTTGAGGTTTCTTCAGGGGTGCCTTGACAAAATGTCTAAAAATTGCCCAAAACTTGTATACAAGCCAGCAGGTGGAACCTAGCCTGCCTTTTAGTTACACAAAGCAGGTTTTCATTGTGCACCATTACAACCTTCTAGCCACCGGCATCCTGACAACCAATGACATCATCAGTTAATAAGGATGTCAGCTGCCTGTACAGCATCCTAGTTTGACCCTCCCCTGCCCCTCTCCATCAGTGCTAGGGTCACATTAGCTCAGTAATGTCATTGGTTGATATCTGGTGCCTGCACAGCATTTGTTTGCCCCTCCCCGTCAGCACTGGGGTCACATTAGCAAGGGAGTGAGGGAGAAGAGAAACATTGGAATACTAGTCAGTGCAAAAGTGTATTTGCTTTGGAAGAGTAAGTCACCTCTAATATACTTCTAATATTGGGTTTCCTACCTGTGTGGATGTTGCTGCGTTATATAAACTATTAAAATAGTTTTTTACATTTTAGAATGAGGTGCACTTTTAAAATTATGGACAATCTTGAGGCACCTCATTTTAGAATGGGGTGCCACGGGGCTGTACTTAATTGTAAAGGGTGCCTTGACTGAAAAAAAGGTTGCGAAACACTGCATTACACAATTCATTACACACAGAGTGAAATATTTCAAGCATTTCTTTCTTTTGATTTTGATGATTATGGCTTACAGCTAATGAAAACCCAAAATTCAGTATCGCAGAAAATTAGAATATTGTGAAAAAGTGCAATATTGTAGACTCATGGTGTCACACACTAATCAGCTAATTAACTCAAAACACCTGTAAAGGTTTCCTGAGCCTTTAAATGATCTCGGTCTGGTTCAGTAGGTTATGCAATCATGGAGAAGACTGCTGACTTGACAGTTGTCCAGAAGACAGTCATTGACACCCTCCACAAGGAGGGTAGGTCACAAAAGGTCATTGCTAAAGAAGCTGCCTGTTCACAAAGTGAACAAAGGAAATAGTGTTGTAGAAAAAGGTGCACAAGCAACAGGGATAACCGCAGCCTTGAGAGGATTGTGAAGCATAGGCCATCAAGATTAATAAGGAGTAGACTGCGGCTGGTTTCAGTGCTTCAAGAGCCACCACACAAAGACATATCCAGGACATGGACTACAACTGTCACATTCCTAGTGTTAAGCCACTCCGGATCCAGAGACAAGGTCAGAAGCGTCTTACCTGTCTAAGGAATGGTCTGAAGTCCTCTTTTTGGATAAAAGTAAATTTTGTACTTAATTTGGAAATCAAGGTCACAGAGTCTGGAGGAAGAGTGGAGAGGCACAGAATTCAAATTGCATGAGGTCAAGTGTGAAGTTTCCACAGTCAGTGATGATTTAGGGAGCCATGTCATCTGCTGGTGTTGGTTCACTATGTTTTATCAAGCTGAAACTCAGCACAGCCGTCTACCAGGGAATTCTAGAGCACTTCATGCTTCCCTCTGCAGACCAGCTTTATTGAGATGCTGATTTCATTTTCCAGCAGGACTTGGCACCTGCCTGCACTGCCAAAAGTACCAATGACCATGGTTTAATGACCATGGTATCACTGTGCTTGATTGGCCAGCAAACGCGACTGACCTAAACCCCATAGATAATCTGTGGGGTATTGTCAGGAGGAAGATGAGAGACACCAGACCCAATAATGCAGATGAGCTAAAGGCCGCTATCAAAGAAACCTGGGTTTCCATAATACCTCAGCAGTACCACAGGCTGATCGCCTCCATGCCACGCAGCATTGATGCAGTAATTCGTGCAAAAGGAGCCCTGACCAAGTATTGAGTGCATACTATACTGTACATGGACATACTTTTAAGTAAGCCAGCATTTCTGTAGTAAAATAATTTTTTTTATTGGTCTTGTGTAGTATTCTAATTTTCTGAGATACTGAATTTTGTGTTTTCTCTAGCTGTAAGCCATAATCATCAAAATTAAAAGATAAAAATGCTTGAAATATATAATCTGTGTGTAATGAATCTATATAGTATATACTTTTTGAACTGAATTACTGAAATAAAATAACTTTTTGATTATATTCTAATTCATTGAGATTCACCTTTATAATATTACAGAAAATATATACCATTACCCCCATTTTTTGCAATGGTCAACACTTGAGTTCATAAATAACGGACGTGCTACTCAAAGAGCAGGGCCCTTGACCCCCTCGTGTATTGTTACTGTATTGTCTCGTGTACTGTCCCCCACTATAATGTACAGCGCTGAGCAAACCTTTTAGCGCTATATAAATACTGTATAATAATAATAATATACAGTATCTCATCGCTTAATGTTCTATGTCAATTCAAGCATCTTCTCAAGCTTCATCTGTAAGGTAATTGTAAATCTGATGTTTATTTTTTTCTGGTGCATTAGTCTTAACAGTGTCCACTTCAGTGAAATTACTTTGAAAAATTGCGTTTAAAAAATTAATACTGCATACTATACCAAGACCATTACAGCACACCATAACACAAGTTGGTGAACTTTTCTGCATGCCAGCTGCAGTTTAGACATATGTGGTTCAAAGTCTGGAAGAATAGTCTGGAAGGCAGGAACCCTTGATCTATGGGATGGATGCGATGGTATTTTCATGTGCTTTATATAGGGCTCAAAATTTCAAGTCCTGAGCTACGAGCAAGGCCTTAAGATTTACTCGCCATCAGTTGCTCCGCTCAACCCCCCTACCCTGCCCGCCCCTAATTCCACCCCTAAACACACCCTCCAAAATGGTATCATGATATGACATTATTAAATGTCCCCCCCGCATTGCATCAGGGTCCCCAGAATCCCCCCCGTATTGCATCAGGGTCCCCAGAGTCTCCCCCCCCCTTTCCCCGCATTCCATCAAGGTCCCCTGAGCCGTCATTTCCCCAGCATGACATCAGGGTCCCCAGAGTCCCCCCCTTCCCCCGCATGACATCAGAGTCCTCCCCTCCCCCTGCATGACATCAAGGTCCCCAGAGTCGTCCCCTCCCTCATTACATCAGGGTCCAAAGAGTTCCCCCCACACCGCATTACATCTGGGTCCCCAATGGTCCCCCTAAACACTCCATCATACTTCACCGCATATAACCATAACCCCCATAATCTCTCATTCACCAAACCATAACTCTACCAAGCATATCCTACCTTCTCTCCAACCCAGCAGTGCCTGAAATGCCCCATACTCTACCATCCATAATAACCACATAATTCTGAACCTGTCCCTAAACCACCCGTATGCTTACACATACAGACACATGTATACAGCCCTATATAAAGTTGCAGTACATTACCTTCCTTCACACAGCCAGGTACTGCACTCAAGGGGGAGGCAGAGAGCACAGCAGACACTCCCCCTCTCTTTGCTTTCACTTTGCTCAGTGTATTCAGCAGTCTGAAGTCTCCCTGTGCCTATGTACAGGCGGCCCTGTGGGACACACTTTGCCCCCGTGTTATTTCCACTTGCCATATGCAAGGAGGCAAGTGTAAATTTTGAGGCCTGCATTTTATATGAACACAATATTGTGTAGAAATTTTTCTCAAGTAGTGGACAGTATTCTTATAATTTTAAAATTGTTATAGGAGTTGCCTTTATCCTAAACAGGTCTCTTATTTTAATTCAGAAAATTACATAACATATTTAAAGTTGTATGAGACTTATTGTTGAACTAGTATTTTGTTAAATGCCTTTAAAAAATAAAGGGGTAATGATCCTATACAATACGTATTTTATTTTTTTTTACTTTTTAATGAAAATACCCCTTTTTTAAAACTTTTAAAAATGAAATTTTATTTGAATGTAAATAGAAACCAGAAAAGCTACATTTTTAAAAGTATGAGTAAAGTGTTTGTTCCATATAGGAATTCAGAAACACGCATGGCACTGAGTTTACAAAGCATTCTGGGATTTCTAAATGGACAGCCTAGCTGTAGCTGCTCACTTTTTGGCTGTGTCTTCAACTGGAACTGCATAACGAGCCATATAAACTAGAGTGTGTGCACAGGGGGAAGGGCATCTCCTTTTGAACAAAAAAAAATAAAAATATATATATGTATATATTACACCAGCATGTCAGAACCCCCCCCCCCAAAAAAAAAGAATTACTGAGTTGGAAAAAGGATCACCCCCCTCCTAAAAATAACTTGTAAACTCAATCAGGTGTAGCTAATCACCTTCTCATTGTCACACAAAGCCATTTGACTTTCAACTGTGATCAGCTGTGGTCATTGTTTATAAGCTCTGCATGAAAAGAGCTTTCCTGGAGCATTTCAGTCCCTAGTAGTGCAGCTGAAGCAAACAATCAACTATGGGTGGCAAGGCACTGTCAAAAGATCTCCAGAATAAAGTTGTGGACAGGCACAAGTCAGGAGATGGATCCAAATAAAATTTCAAAGGCTTTACCAATGCCTAGAAGCACAGTGAAGTGTATTATTAAGAAGTGGAAGGTATTTTGTACAACACAGACCCTCCCTGGATCATGACTTCACTCCAAACTGAATGAAAGTGCCAGGAGGAAACTGCTCAGAGAGGCTACCAAGAGGCCTACAGCAACTCTGGAGCAGTTGCAGGAATTTTTGACAGAGTGGTCATTGTGTGCATGTGACAACAATATCACAAATTCTCCACAAATGTGGCTTGCATAGGAGGGTTGCCAGAAAAAGGCCACTCCTAAAGAAAGGCCACATGTCATGACTGAGCTTTGCCAAAACGCACCTTGAAGATTCTGAGGCCACATGGAAAAAGGTGTTTCTAGTCAGATGAGACTAAAACTGAATTATTTGGCCTCAACACTAAAAGATGACTGGCAGAAATCCAGTACAGCTCACCATCCAAATAAAACCATTCCTACAGTAAAGCATGGATGTGGTAATATCCTGTTATGGTGGGTTTCTCTGCATCAGGGACTGGAGCACTAGTCAGGATAGAAGGAAAAATGGATGGGGCAAAATACTGTCAAATTCTTGAGGAAAATCTGCTGCCCTCTGGCAGAAAGTTGCCAATGGGAAGAAGGTTTTGCCTTCCAACATGACAATGGCCCAAAGCACACAGCAAAAAATGAGCACACAGTGATTGAAGATGGAAAAGGTGAATGTCCTTGCATGGTCTAGTCCAGGGGTAGGCAACCTGTGGCTCTCTAGCAGTTGTGGAACTACATTTCCCATGAGGCTTTGCAAAGATTACAAAACTGACAGTTACAGCTATGACTTGCAGAGGCATGATGGAACTTGTAGTCCTGTGGCTTTCAGGTTGCCTACCCCTGGTCTAGTCAGAGCTCAGACTTAAACCTCACTGAAAATCTGTGAAATTACTTGGAGACTGCAGTCACCATTAAATTTAACTGAACTTCAGCAGTTCTGCAAAAAAGAGTGGGCAAATATTGCAAAGTATTGATATGAAAAATAAGTAGAGACATATCCCAACAGACTAAAGGCTGTAATTAAAGCAAAAGGTGGTTCAACAAAATACTGAAACAAGGGGATGATCCTTTTTCCAAAAGAAAATGTGTTTTCATTTCAGGCTCTCTCAGTGTTTGTGAGTGTGTGTGTTCTGTATAGAGGTAAACATCAGGAGAAATAAAAACCTTTAACAGAAGTAAAGAACGGTAGAAAATGTTGATATAGTAGACTCTTGAGTGCCATCTGCTGGCTCCATATGTTTTGTTTTTTTTAATTATTACAAATACATTTGAAAATCAGTAAGGCCCCATGTACACGGGACACTTCTGAACGATGGAAACTGACTGCTGGAAAACGTAGGTAAAATTTCTGTTTAGCCGCATTTGCATAATGCATTTGTGTGTTTGCGTTTAGAAGCGTTTTTTAAAGATAAGCACAGGAGAACCTCCCAAATGCCCAGAATGCACTGGAAAGTGGTAAATTATTACCCATTTCAGACTGTTTCAGAGAAATACAGAGAGTAGAAGCAAAGACAGCAGTATGTGTTAGAATTAGCTTAGGTGTGAGTTGCTCATTAACATTTCTTTGGTTTCCAAGTGTGGGAAGGTGTCTGGTGCAGTGAGTCATTAAGGTCACCTGGCAGGGGGTCTTGAGGAGGAATTTGAGGTGTGAATGGTCATTAACATATCTTTGGTTCCAATGGTGGGAGAGGTCTCAGGTGTGAATTGGTCATTACAATGTGTGACAAGCTTGGTAGGAACATTCTGTTTTCAGTGTTTTGTCCATCTGAGTATCTTGAAAACACTTTGCATGCATTTTTCATGATGAAAAAAGGCTTTGGACAGGATCGGGAACTGGAAGAGTTAAAAAAAAAAAAAAAATTCAGCCGCAAACGCTTATAAACGCGAGATGCCACATTTACCAGCATTTTGCGTTTGAAATGTTGATAAAATCGACTGCTGAAAGCAAGTTTTCTGCATTAAAAAAAAACGACTGTAAATTCAAATGCCTGTAAACAAAGATGTGTACATGGACACATAGGAAAACATTAGGGTGAGTTCAGGGGCTGCTGAAAAAAAATGCTGAACAGCTCCTAAATGTGAGTTTATCAGCTGCAGTGTACATGGGGCCTAACAATGTTTTTGTGTATCAGCAGCAAAACTTGGGATATCAAACAGAAAACACCATAGTGATCTGAGAAAGCAGTACACAGTGCTCAGTCTTGTACTGCCATCTATTGTGCAAAAGCACGATACAAGGACCAAATGGAAGTCCAAAAATGTTTTCACACAAGATTCACACATTTTTGTAAGTGTATCAAATTCTGGGAAATGTTGAATTATTGTGTGAAATATGTTCTAAATAGACCCTACAGCAGTGATGGCGAACCTATGGCACGCGTGCCAGAGCTGGCACGCAGAGCCATCTCAGTGGGCACGCCAGGAGGAAGAGAGGAAGAGGAAGAGAACGCGCTCTCCTGCGCACCTCCGGGGGCGCGCACCGGGCGATCTCCGTGATCGCTGTGTCCTGCGGACACAGCTGATCACGTGACATGGTAAAAGGCCAATCACAGCGGCCTTTTACCACGTGATCAGCCGTGTCCAATGACACGCTGATCACCGGGAAATGCAAATGCCGGATCTCGGCTGCACTTTCCTCACGCTGTCAGAACGTGAGGAAAGTACTGTTGAAAACCGGCAGTTGTCAGAACAGGGATCGGCACCGATCATCAGGGTCACTGATCATCAGTGCCCTGATGATCGGTGCCCACCTGTGCCACACACAAGTTCCGCCCACTTGTGCCCAGCAATGCGCCCACCTATGCCCAGCAGTGCGCCCACCTGTGCCCAGCAATGCACCCACGTGTGCCCAGCAGTGCGCCCACCTGTGCCCAACAGTGCGCCCACCTGTGCCCAGCAATGCACCCACCAGTGCCCACCTGTGCCGCCCACCTGTGCCCACCAGTGCCACCCATCAGTGCAGCCCAGCAGTGCTGCCAGTCAGTGCCACCAGTCAGTGCCCAGCGGTTGTGCCAGTCAGTGCCCAGCAGTGATGTCAGTCAGTGCCACCTATCAGTGCTGTCTATCAGTACCCATTATCAGTGTCGCCTATCAGTGCCACCTATCTGTGACACCTCATTAGTGCTGCCCATCAGTGCCACCCATCAATGATGCCCAGCAGTGCTGCCGGTCAGTGCCGTCTGTCAGTGCCTCCAGTTGGTGCTGTCAGTGCCGCTTATCAGTGCCCATCATTTCCTGCATATCAGTGCATCATCAGAGCCTCCTCATCAATGCTCACCAGTGCCGCCTCATCAGTGCTACCTATCTGTGCCGCCTCATCAATGCCCATCAGTGCTGCCTATCAGTGCAGCCTCACCAACGCACATCAAAGAAGAAATATTACCTGTTTGCAAAATTTTAGAATAGAAGCAAAGGAAACCTTTTATGTTTTTAATTTTTTGCTCTTTTTTCATTTATAGTGCAAAAAATAAAACACCCAGTGGTGATTAAATACCACCAAAAAAAAGCTCTATTTGTGTGAAAAAATCATAAAAATTGCATATGGTTACAGTGTTGCATGACCGCACAATTGTCTTTAAGTGCAACAGCACTGAAAGCTGAAAATTGTCCTGGGCAGGAAGGGGGTAGAAGTGCCCGGTAGGCAAGTGATTAATTCCAGTGTTGGCACTTTGAAATAAAAAAGTTGGTTTTGTGTTGCAGTTTGGGCACTCGGGCTCAAAAAGGTTCGCCATCACTGCCCTACAGTGTCAAATGTAATAATCAGAACTCTCCTTTTTATGAGTTAGTACTCCAAATATCTGCGTGGGTTTCCTCCGGGTACTCCGGTTTCCTCCCACACTCCAAAGACATTCTGGTAGGTGAATTGGCTCCTGTCTAAATCGCCCCTATTATGTGTATGTATGAATGTGAGTTAGGGACCTTAGATTGTACGCCCCTTGAGGGTTAGGGACTGATGTGAATGTACAACATATATGTAAAGCATTGCATACATTGACAGCGCTATAGAAGTACCTGAAATAAATAAATAACCATAAAAGATCAGAATGACATCATTGCAGCACAGCAATGACTGTGCACCTAAATGAGAACCAAGTTTTCTTGAGAAGTGCTGTTTTCTACCCATGGGACCTTCTACTTTATCTGTCTAAATTCCCTCTTCAGTGCTGTTTGAACTCAAATAGCCATTCCAGGTATTTAGATAAATGTCCAGAAAATGGCATATCTAAGATAAATATACCACAGCCATGTTTCTTAATTGAATTTTTACTGTCTGTTTTGTGGACTGTCTGCCAATTATCTAGTACTGCTGTGTGCACTGAACAGTTCTATGGGGTCATGTGACACTGCAGCAAAGACAGTTCCATAAAGCAAGTTCAGTATGCCTGTGCTAGTGCTCAGCTGGTGGAGGATGGCTTCCCGTGTCTTACAGCACATCCTTTGTCTTCTAAGGCTGTAATCCCCAGCCCGACACACATCCTTTTTATCACAGCATCACGCCTAAGAGGGCAGTCTGGACTACTAATCCTTGGTCTATCACCTCTAGGATGTTGCAGAGCTTAGTCTAGGAGATTTATGATGATGCATCCACTGCATGCTGGAGGATACGAGTTGTGAATATTGCTTTGTCTCATTCTCCATGTAACTCCTGCTCACTCTTGCGTTAACAGAGGGCACCGCAGAGCAAGCACGATGCTGGCAGCAGGGATGCAGAGAAGCCTCTTGATGCACAAGGAGGCACAGACATTGCCACCAGCAGCACCAGTGGAAATGGGCAGGTAAAGGAAATTTGTATTTTATGTTAATGCATTTATGTAAGTTGATGCAATTATGTATGTATCCTAAAATGTTGGTGTGTAGAACTGCTTATATGTGCTTAGGAAGAATTGTGTATATTTAAACCTATCTATAAGCAAAAATGTTATAAGTATATGTTTTGCTTCCAGACCTAGCAGTCATTCTGTAAATTATAGGAGCATTTGGAGCAAAAGCTGTGACAAAATCTGTAATTTTCTTGAGATAAAGATGCTGTACTGTCATTTCAATTGGAGCTGCAACTGAATGTCATGTGTTTAAGACTCGTACTGCTGCTTTTGTGTCTGAAAAAAATGAGGATCAGCATTAAACTGGTTTGTTTAGGCTCTTGTAATGAAGGAAATAAAACATAAGAGAGAGTGCTGAGTTGACCACATGACAGGTTACTGTCTGACATTCTCCTTTGTTGTTCCGTGGACAACTTCCAGACAAATTTTCCGTGCCTTTTGCTGCGTGTTTAGACACAGCATTATTGTTTCCCTTTTGAAGTGATGGCTCATAAAAGTGATACCTGCAGTTCTTTTACATACTAGCTATGTGTGCTTAGACCATCATGTACTTCAACTTTGTCAACAGTGCAAATCTAAGCTACTGTTTTATATTTACCCATGCTCATTTTACGTCTTGACAATTAACCCACTATAAGGTTCAATTCATAACTAAACATGTTTCATAGGTGAAAAACGTTTGTAACACAATGATTAAGATCATTTTAAAGGCTATGTTTGTAATTTAAATAAAAAATTAAATCATACTTACCTGCTCAGAGAGCCGTCACTTATCTCTTCTTTAGTGGGCCCTGCTCCTTCCTCCGGGTGCCCCTTTAGCAAGTTGTGTGCACTGGTGGGACCCATGTGTGCGAGCTCCCAAGCCGGGTGCGTGTGTATAGACACACTGTGCCTGTAAGCCACTCCCCGCTCCCTCCTGACAGGAGCTTGACAGATAGCAGCAGGAGCCTATGGCTCCCACAGATCTCAAGTCTCCTGTGAGTCCAGGAAGAGAGCGTGATGCTGCAGCCAGGACAGCGTTGGATTCGTGAGAGGAGTCAGGTGTTTAGGGAAAAAAAATGTTTAGCCTTTAGATCCACTCTTGAAGGCCTTGTGAAACCATATTTGACATTTGTATCTTCCACTTCAGTTGGTGCCAATTTGTGCTGCTCTCATCAATAGACAACTAATGTAATCTCACAATGACGATTGATTTGAAGGTAGCAATGTATATTAAGGGGCTGAAATCTGTATGCAAATAGTGCATTGCCTCTTTAACCACTTGCCTACCGGGCACTTTCACCCCTTTGCTGCCCAGGCCAACTTTCAGCGCTATCGCACTTTGAATGACAATTGCGCACTCATGCAACTCTTTACCCATATGAAATTTTTATCTTTTTTTTTTTTTTTTTTTTTAGACAGATAGAGCTTTCTTTTGGTGGTATTTAATTACCACTGGGTTTTTTATTTTTTGATAAACAAAAACAACTGAAAAATCTGAAAAAAAAAAGTTATTTTTCTTAGTTTGTTATAAAAGTTTGTAAATGAATAATTTTTCTCCTTCACTGATGTGCGCTAATGAGGCTGCACTGCTGGGCACTGATGAGGAGGCACTGGTAGGTGGCACTGGTCGGCATTGACATGCATCACTGGTCGGCATTGACAGGCATCACTGATGGGCACTGAAAGGCAGTACTCATATATGGCACTGATAGGTGGCACTGACAGGCACTGAAAGTCAGCTCAGATGGGCACTGATATGTGGCATTGATGGGCACTGATGGGCACTGACAGGTGGCATTGATGGGCAATGAGAGTTGGCATTGATGGACACTGACAGGTGGCACTGATGGGGCTACACTGGATCATCCTCCCTTTGAGGAATACCGATTACCGGCTCTCGCTCTCCTCTCCTCACGAGCTGTCAGCGTGACAGCTCGTGAGGAGAGAAATGCCAATAACTGGCATCTCCTTACATGCTACTCATTTACATGCTATCAGCTGTGAGTGGACACAGCTGATCACATGACAGAGCCGAAGTCATCGGCTCTTTCCGCTGATCAGTGATCCGCTGTGTCCTAGAGACACAGCGCACCACCGATCGCCGCGCTGTGCGCCCCCGGAGGTGCGTGTGCATGGTTAGAGTGGAAGGACGTCATATGAGAACGAGAGAACCACCTTGCATCCATTATTTCCTTATATGGCAGGTGGGAGGCGGTTAAACAGAAATGACAGGGTTACAGCTTTTGGTACTGTTTGACAGATTTAACTTTCTGTTTACACACCGAGTCATCAGTACTTTGGCCTCACTGACAAGAATTGTGTGTGTGTGTGTGTGTGTGTGTGTGTGTGTGTGTCTGTCTGTGTCTGTCTGTGTTATATAAAACTTCTGCAAGCTGAAAATTATATATTTCACTAAGCATATAAAATAAATTATGCAGTATAAAATAAACATCAGGAAAAAATTAAATCACCTGATACATTTTGTATCAGGTGATTTAATTTTTTCACATCAGCAGGTAAGTCATGTCTAAAACTGTAGTGTAGTGTTAAAAAAAAAAATTTCAAAAAAATGAATGAATTGCATTGTTTATTACTGGGGTTCTTCTTGTTACTGTGCTAGAAAGAAGGCATGTTATATTTACATGACGGAAGTAGTTAAAGGTAAAAAAAAGATAACATAAATCAACCTTTCATTGGTGCAGAATATTTAATTTGGTGATGTGTATTTTGTCAGTGTTCCTTCCTGTTGGAGGTGTGCCTGTAAAAAGGAAAAGGGCCATATGGCTTGTGAGGGGTATGGGAGGAAGCCTCTTCCTTCTTTGTGCAGGTCCACTCAGGCTTAGCTCATTATCAGGATGATGCTGGGAAGGTGTGGTCCTGTTTACAAATCTACAACTACAGGCGTCTTCAGGAAAGCAGTGCAGTAAGGCATGGGATTGTCAGACCAGTGACAGGTGAAGTTTGTATTGATGTTGCATGTTGCCAATTAATTAAGCTCAATAATGTAAATTTTATTTCCAAATAAGGTAGACATTTACATTATGTTAAAACTTACTGTTAAATGTCTCAAAAATATGCTTTATGATAAAATGGAAAAAAAACGGGAAATATAAGGTAAAAATGTTCAGTATATCAGTGCTTTTAAATCAATGAATTACAGAATTGTATTTAGATGCTGTACAAGCAACCACAGATTTGGGTAGTTTGTAATGGTTACTGCTTTGTTTTGTTAGTGATGTTCTAATATCATTTGCTGCTCTCTTGTTTGAATAGTGTTTGGAGCCAGATGGCTGCTGGCTGGTATTCAGACCATTCATGGGTCATCTGGGGAATATCCTATTCTATGAGTGCTGCAGAGGTGGAGAAGGTTAATCACTGAGTGACTT